GCCCGGCCCGGCCCCCTTCCCGGCGTCGGCAGCTGGGCGGAGGCTTTAAGGAGGAGCTTTCCTAATTCCTTCGCAGGTGCCCTTCCAACTCTTGGTCCTCTTCCAGTTTCTTGGCTGCACCCTCTCTTTGGGTGGAAGATTGACTGGAGGCGCAGAAAAATCTTTAAACCGATGCTGTACGGAAGCAATGTTGAAGGTGCCTGCAGCTTTTGGTAAAGAGTGGTCTTAACCGACCAGATAGGCGGGATATAAGTAAGTAAGTAAGTGAGTAAGTAAGTAAATGAATAAATAAATAAATAAAGAAAGAAAGAAAGAAAGAAAGAAAGAAAGAAAGAAAGAAAGAAAGAAAGAAAGAAAGAAAGAAAGAAAGAAAGAAAGAAAGAAAGAAAGAAAGAAAGAAAGAAAGAAAGAAAGAAAGAAAGAAAGAAAGAAAGAAAGAAAGAAAGAAAGAAAGAGATCGTCACCACCGAGCTATATGAAATATTTTGTCTTTGCTGGAGGGAAGGTGGAGTACCACAGGATATGAAGGATGCAAACATCATCACATTGTACAACAACCAAGGCGACAGCGGCAAACTGCAGTAACTACTGTGGCATCTCTCTTCTCAGCTGCTTGCCCGTGTTGTGCTGCAGAGGCTCCAGGTGCTTGCAGACAGAGTCTATCCAGAATCACAGAGTGGATTTTGAGCTAAATACATCCACCATTGACATGGTATTTTCCCTCAGACAGTTGCAGGAGAAATGTAGGGAACAATGACAGCCACTCTTTGTGTGTGGCCTTCCTAGATCTTACGAAGGCCTTTGATATGGTTAGCAGGGAGGGCCTTTTTAAAATCCTTCCCAAGACTGGATGTCCACCTCAACTCCTTAACATCATCAGGTCCTTTCATGAGGGAATGAAGGGCACTGTAGTTTTTGATGGCTCAACATCAGATCCCTTTGATATCTGAGGTGGTGTGAAACAAGGCTGTGTCCTCGCGCCAACTCTGTTTGGGATCTTTTTTGCTGTCATGCTGAAGCACACTCTTGGAACTGCAACAGAAGGTATCTATCTCCGGACTAGATCAGACGGAAAGCTCTTTGATCTCTCTAGATTGAGAGCGAAGACCAAAGTCCAACTGAAATGTATACGGGACTTCCTTTTTGACGATGATGCAGCTGTTGTTACCCACTGTGCTGAAGACCTCCAAGAATTCATGAATCATTTTAGGAAGGCCTGCCAGGATTTTGGATTATCAATCAGCCTGAAGAAAACACAAGTCATGGGCCAAGGCATGGACTCACCTCTATTGCCATTTCTACACAAGAATTGGAGAAGGTAAGAATGAAGATGAGGGAGATGACAGGGCTGTCAGAAAAGAGGGGAACAGAAGCAAAGGATGGGGCAGAACCATTTTTAAAAGCAGCAGGAGAAGAGGAAGAGGTGACAGGACAAGCAGAAAAGGTGGGTGAGGAGGGGGAGGTGATCTACAAGAAAGAAAGATCTGAGGGAGTGGTAAAAGCTGGTGAAGCAAAAAAAGGACCTAAGACTCTCCCCGCCAGGATGGGAATATATCAGGTTGGAAAATCACCGAACTCATCAGGGGGAAAGTCTTACGGTGGCTAAGGAGGAGGCAGAGAAGTGAAGTTAATTAAACCCTCCTATTGGGGGAAAAAGAAGCAAGCGAGTGGGGCAGGAAGATAAGGAGGAATGTGCCAAGCTGGCTAGAGAAAGATGTGAGAGGGCCGGATGGCAGAAGTATCTGAAGGCCAAGAGGAGCCCAAAATGGACCTTGGGGGCATGCAGACTCAGGCGGGGAGACTCTGGAATGCCCATGTTGCCAATACCATTTGAATCCCTGCTGATAGGCTTTTCTTTGGACAGAGAGTTTGGACGGTTGCAGTTTGGTGTTGGTAATCCATTTATAGATAACGACCCTTTTCTCATGCCATTGCATGAAGAAGAGAGACAGTTAGAATCATAGAATCGTGAAGTTGGAAGGGGCCTATAAAGCCATCAAGTCCAACTCTCTGCTCAATGCAGGAATAGAAATTAAAGGATATCTGCCAGGTGGTTGTCTAAGTTTCTCTTGAATGCTTTTAAGGTTGCAACTATACTTTAATCAAACTTATTTTCTTAATAAAACAAATATAATTCTAACTTAAGGACTTATCTCTTGAACAGCAGGACTGCACCGAAATCCAGTGTGGAGTGGAAAGGTCACTAATTGCTACTATAACAGAGAGGTCCTACCTGATCTGCTGTTGTGCTATCTAAGGAAGCACACAGTTCATGGTTTATTGCCTTGTAAGCAGGCAAGAGTTCTAATTTTAGGTTGAGCTTGTCCTTAGGGCAAGGACTATGCACTTCTGAGGGTAAAAGGACCTGCCTCAGGCATAAAAAGTGGTGGTTGCTTGCACCTACAGTGACTCCTTGCCCAAGACGCTATCTCTATAGGGAGAAGTGGTTCTGACATTCATTTTCTTTAATAGTCACTGGTTTTTAAGCATTTTTTATTCTTCTACCATTTTATAGCCTTTTTCTATTTAATAGTCACTGGTTTTTAAGCATTTTTATTCTTCTACCATTTCATAGCCTTTTTCTATCTTGCAGTCTTTAACCACTTCATCTTTCACATATAATTCATTTAGTCCCTCTTTATTGTAGAGGTTTTCTTCCTCCTGGATCCTCCTGTTTCTATGGCACATTTTCCTTTAGAGCAGGGGTCTCAAACTCAATTTACCTGGGGGCCGCGGGAAGCAGAATCTGGGTGAGGCTGGGCCACATCAGATTTTCCGCCAAGCGGAGCAAGGGCCCGAGGAAGCCACCCAGGAGTTTCTGTAGCCTAGCTGGGGCTCTGAGGAGGAGGAGGAGGAGGGGCGCGCAAGCCCTCGCCGTCGGCCACAACTCCCTCCTGCTCCTTCTTCACCACCACCACCACCAGCAGCAGCAGGACGAAGAAGCAGAGAAGGGAGGGAGTGCCGGCGACTGCTTAGCAGGGTGGGGAGGAGGGCACGACATAAAATTTAAAAAAAAACCTCACAGAATTCTCCTTGCCAAAGGAGAAAAGCCCCCACCGGTACCTGCGAAATTAAACAACGGGATGTGGGCCCCACAGGTGCGCACGTGCATGCACGCACACAAACACACACGGAGGTCCGGCAACCTTCCTCTGGGCCCCCCCTCAAAAAAGGGCACACTCAGCAGCAGTAGCTACCCCACCACCCCAGAGGACCAAACTTTGTGAGGTGAGTCCAGGCAGCCTCCAGAGCCAAGGTGGCTAAAGCAGGATGAAAAGGAGGAGGAGGAGGAAGCACCGCTGGGTGCTGAGGTGGCCACTGGCTAGGCTGGTGCTGGGGGTGCAGAGAGAGAAAGAGAGCCAGAGAGCCACTTCCCTGGAAGAGGCGGCGGCAACTGCTGTTGGCGGCTTGGAGGCACTCTTCGAGGATGGGCCGGAAGCAAGCTCCGCTCTCAGGCATCGCTCAGCGGTGGCTCAGGCGCTTGGGAAAAAGGTGCTCCTTGGGAGCAAGGAGCCTTGCTCACCGGCTCTTCCCCAAAACAGCGTCGCTTGCACCCTCCGTCTGGAATTGCAGGCTACCAGCTAGCAGACAGGCGGGCTGGCTGGCAGGCTGCAGTTCCGGATAGAGGGGGCAAGAGGCGCTGTCTTGGGAGACAACCGGAGAGCGAGGTGAGGCTGGATGCATGGGTGCTTCAAGGGGGCAGGCAAGGCAGGGGCCACAAACTATCATCTGGCGGGCCACAAATGGCCCCCCCGGGCTGCATGTTTGAGACCCCTGCTTTAGAGCTTCTCACTTGCTTTTCTACTCTAGTCAAGCTTCTACTTCTGATCCTGATGTTCCACTTGATTTCTCCTTTTCTCATTTCTCCTCTACTTTTCTCTTCTTTTCTGTCCCTTTGTTTTCTTAAAATCTTCTGCCTTCATTTTTTCGTCGTTGTTTGGTCATGTTCGACTCTTCATGACCCCATGGACCAGAGCACGGCAGGCCCTCCT